TGCTTGGACCGAGACCAGCCCCTATCTGCGGCTGGCCCCGTGCAGGGCTGGAGCAGCTCCTTGCCCTCGGCAGGCAGGGTGCTGCTCCAGCCTGCGTCGGTTACCAGTTAACCAGAGCCAGTAAGCATTTCCCATTTAGGGCGATGCTTACCGGTTAACCTTTCACATTCCCTAAGACTAAGGCAACCTACTTGTTGAGGGCCACCATGCTTTTTTGTCAAACCCTAAAGGCTCAGTATTTTTAGAATACATACAAACTCTTGGAAACAAAATACAGGATGCTGCTCCAGCCTGCGTCGGTTACCAGTTAACCAGAGCCAGTAAGCATTTCCCATTTAGGGCGATGCTTACCGGTTAACCTTTCACATTCCCTAAGACTAAGGCAACCTACTTGTTGAGGGCCACCATGCTTTTTTGTCAAACCCTAAAGGCTCAGTATTTTTAGAATACATACAAACTCTTGGAAACAAAATACAGGACTATGTAGCACTTTAAAGACTAACAAGATGGTTTATTAGATGATGAAAACATGTTGGAAACATGTTCTCTATTTTGATGACCTCTTAAATCCTGTAGCTCTCTCGTAGAAGAGTACATGTTGCTCCATGCGTGAAAAATGGTCAGCCCATAAATGGAATTTCAGTCAGCACAGCAAATGTCTGCATAGAGAGGAATTCTGCAGAAAACCCTAATGCCCAAGCAGTGTGGGAGTATGGCAAATAATGTGCAAAAAAGCTTTAGTTCCATTTGCAACAGTCTTTGCAATTCTCTGAATGGAAAGATTTAACTGCAGGAGACTTTTGCTTATTGTGACAAGTGTTTATTTTAGGCAGTGCCAACGCTGCGCTGTATGGTTTTAAAATGAACAGCCAAGGCTTTAAAAAGCAAGGAAACCTTACAAGATGCTGTCATCTTGAGCAGTTTTATAGAAAAACAAACCTGAATTTGGGCGAAATACGGAAGCAGAACGCACTGTGAATATTTCAGGAGGCCCGTTGCTGTCAGAAAAGAGGCTCACACACTGCCTTCTGCTGAATGGAACGGGTTTTGAAGATTTCCACAGCAGAATTCCATATGACCGCATTCCAACAGGAAGCAAGCGTTATGGGTTCTCTTCTGGTTCAGCACTGTCCTTGTACAAAGGCCATATGTATTAGTACCCTGTAGTAGGCTTACCTTTGGCCAGTGGCTCTATTATATGCTACACTTCAAGTATTTCCCCACCACCATACTTCTAAGAAGCAATTCTAAACATGAGAAATGGTGGTAGCCTAAAAGATCCAAAATGAAGTGCATGTGATAATCATACAGCATACTTAGACATATGTGAACTCCAAACAGAAGCCTTTTCAAATAAAACAAATACGTTCACTAGGATCATTACATTTTACCATGTGGTTTAACTTAAAGGCTTTTTGGTAAAAGTTGTGTAGACGCTTGCCAGCATAATAAAGTGAGGTTAATCCAGACTGGAAGTCTCTCTGTTGGCAAACCCTGGTGGTTTCAGAGCCTTGGTATTCAAGTTATATAATTACTTCAAATTCTCTTTTCTCACCTGCAGAGATACGATCATAATAAAAATGAGAAAATTCTTCCAATCAGTCTTGAACCATCTTCCAGCACTGAGCCAACCCAGTCTAACCTAAGGTAGGAACCTACATAATTAAAATGTGGCCAAATCTGTCAGCCCAGAGGCAAAACTCCCTTTTGACTTCAGTGGAAGCAGAAAAGGGCCCATCTTTGGGGCGGCTTTTTTCTTTTGTTTTCTGGATCCTAACTAAAACCAGTTACTGTAACTACTGTATCTTAGGGAACGTGGGTCCTGCTGCAAAATAACTGATCTGATCCAGAGCAATTTTGACCCTTAACTTTTATCTTTATTGATACGTAAAACCCCTGACACATTATTAAGTGTATATTAAGGCTGGAAAATGCCATTGAAGCTTGAAGGAAGTGCCTGGCTTGCATTTTTCCCGGGGGCTACGTCTACACTGGCATGATTTTCCGGAAATGCTTAAAATGGAACAGTTTTCCGTTATAAGTATTTCCGGAAAAAGAGCATCTACATTGGCAGGATGCTTTTCTGGAAAAGCCCTTTTTCCGGAAAAGCGTCCATGGCCAATGTAGACGCGCTTTTCCGCAAAAAAAGCCCCAATTGCCATTTTCGCGATCGGGGCTTTTTTGCGGAAAAGACTACTGTGCTGTCTACACTGGCCCTTTTCCGGAACAGTTTTCCGGAAAAAGGACTTTTGCCCGAGCGGGAGCAGCATAGTTTTTCCGGAAAAGCAGCTGATTTCTTACAGTAAATCGTCAGTGCTTTTCCGGAAATTCAAGGGGCCAGTGTAGACAGCTTGCAGCTTATTCTGGAAAAGCGGCTGATTTTCCGGAATAAGTGGCCCAGTGTAGACACAGCCTGGGACTCCCAGTGGCTCTGTATGAGGCTGACTCTGGGGTGGTATCACATCTTGCTCAGACGGGTTATAAGGTAGCATAACTTGCATATAGAGCAAAGACTTTAGGCATGCTTCCCTGGGTCAAAGCAAACGAGAATATCTGAGTGTGAAGGGGACCCTTAATTTGTTGTGCAGTACTGCAGGTCAGATCTCCCACTCGCCAAAACATTCAGAGCATTCCAAGTGCAACTGTAGCTCAGACCTTAACCTAATAGATTCTTGGTTACCACTTTTACCCCCTTTATGAAGTTAACGTGAATCTCCCTCTAACTCAGGGGTGGGCATGAAGTGGCCTGCGGGCCGTACAGGATGCACCAGAGTTAGCCACTGGTGGGCTGCCAGCTGTTTATTTTCCTGCAAGTCTGCTGATACAGCTGCTTACAGCTCCGGTTGGCTGTGGATTACCATTCCTGGTCAATGGGAGCGGTGAGCAGCGGTGTCCCGTTCTGCACTGCTTTCCGCAGCTCCCATTGGCTGGAAATGGTGAACCGCGGCCAATAGGAGCTGCAAGCATATCTGAGGATACGCAGGTAAATAAAGCACCAGCAGCCTGCCAGGGGCTAACCCTAGTGAACCACGTCAACCCGTGGGCTGCTTATTGCCCACGCCTGTTCTTCTCCTGATATGCCTGAATATTCTGATGCAAGAGATATTGGATTATTTGAGAACAGTGTTCTGGTCTCTGGTAAAAGACAAGCTAGACTTATCTCTTCAAACTCTCTCCCTTTTCCAGTGTCAGTGCAAAAATAAAAGCTATTGAAGCCAAGCTGAAAATGATGGCAGAGAATCCAGATGCGGAATATCCAGCACCACCAGCTTATTCTTACTTCAAACCACCCGATAAAAAAAGGACTACTCCTTACTCCAGAACTGCCTGGAAATCCAGAAGATGATGATTATGTATGGCTAATGGTAGCAAGAGAGACTGTTTTATACACCTCTGAAATCCTCCAGTGTTTTTGTACTTGTAGATTATGCTCAGTTGGCACTGTCCTTCCCAATTTCACTGTTTACACTACAGTGTTTTATAATCTATTTTAAATGTTCTGATAACTGCGCCATACTGTCAGTGTATGTACAGAATTGACTGCTGTCCAGAAAAAATAAGGTTCCATCCAAAACTTGTGACTTAGACAATTCATGTTGTTAGTCTGGTTTCATTAGTAAGACCAGAAGTGTTAGCCAGATAGAAAATCAAACACAAGAAATGGTCTATTTTAATTCTGGCTGTTAAATTTAAGAAAGTACCTTTTTTCAAACAAGTATTCCACTTTGTTTAAATATTTTAAGCAGAGGGAAAACACAAGAGTTTTGATAAATTACCATAAGTCCTTTTCATCTTCCACACAGCTAACTTTAAATGGCTTTTGCAACCTCTTTAGTAAATATACATGCTATATTTATACACAAGGCAGCAATTTTGTTTTGCACCCCGATTTGTTAAATTAAATCTAGATCTAACCATGGGACAGCAAAAGGATTTTAAATGTTAATATTTCAGAACAATTGTAGAAATCCAGTGTGTCTCACTGCGTAACTATTTAATAATTCCTATATGTAATTTACTCTGTGCTTCTAAAATAACAACACTTAAAATGTAGATCTTGAAATTTCATGTGCAAAACAGTAGAACGTTATTATGTGAAAATACTGTTTAAAGTTTTTATAGTGGCATATCTAGCATGCATACATGTAACCCTCCTTACCGATTATTCTTCATAAGCAAGATGCGACAGTGTGAGACTGTAACGTTGCTACCCCAGAGACATCTGGCAGAACAACTACCTCAGAAGGGCACCCAGCTAGGCTAATTCCATTCTTGACTGGCTGGCAAAGATGCTTGGTTACAACAATTAGGAAAACGTGAGTGGCGGGGATCTGGCATAGCAGTGCTATTGTATTCTAGGGGTTATGTTTGCTTTAGGAAGTGTTTAATTTGTCTTTAATGGACCGGCGTTTCACCTAAAACAGCACTTGGTCCCTACAAGTTCCCTGCAACACTGACAGACATGAGAAAAGATCTATAAAACCCATATGCGTCACAAGTGGGAGTGATGAGGAAGACAACTATATTCACTGGTACTGGAGATGATAATCTATGTTGCCAAGGTATCTGATCTCTCACTGCAAGTTTTTATAACCGTAATACAGTTTTCTCACTTGCCAGTCAGTCCTGAATGGTGTCCCCAAACTGATAACCATTACAATGTCCAAACGAGATAATAATCTAAACTGCCCACGGTTTCTCTCTAGGTGAAAACTTTCTCATTTGTATGGCAAACTTATGTTCTGTTTTACAATGCTGTTTATAATTACATTTATGTATAAAATGTTCTTAAAACCTCTAAACTATCTCAACCATAGCTTTACACGTGTTTGAGAGATGCACTGTTTTCAAAGCCTGAAATGGATCATTGTTTAAAAACAGGTCTTTAGCTAGTGAGTTTAATTTCTAACTTTTCTTGTTACCCAGGTACTTGAAGAAAATGAGTCTCCTTTTAGGTTTAGCACCTCTATGAATGATAATGCTATCTGATAAAAATTTTTTTGCAGACTGGGTCTTTGTTTTAGATTTTTACACTTATATGATATAGTCTCACACTTGCAATCCTTGAATCATTTAGACTCGTTATTTAAAACAAGATGGTTGTTTCTATTTTTAATATGAATTTAGAAATAGTTGCATTTGAATGAGGCGTGCTGGTGTGTTCCCTTTTATATTTATTTATATTTAAAATGGGCTCATTTGCTAAGACTCTTACAGCTCTGTGTGAATAAATAGTTTAAACCATGTATTTCTTCTTGACTTGAACCAGTAACCTAGGCTGGTGAATGACTAGAGTAAATGGATCTTTCAGTTGGTGGGTTCTGCCAGTGTGTTAAATAGAACTGTTTGCACTATTGTTAGAAAAAAGCTTTGTATGAAGTTTTAGTTCTAGATTGATACTCTTTCTTTACGTTTGGCAAGCAGAGAGGCGTTAGTTCTGCCTCGCATATGAAGATGGTGGATGCTAGTATGATGACCCACCTCCAAATGTTGGGATAAGGGGAAGAAATTACCTTGTGTCTGTCATTCTTGTTAGTTAGAAATAACTTTAGGGATCTACCCTGCAAACACATACATGGAATAGGGCGTCCCTGGTGGGCTGCCAGCTGTTTATTTTCCTGCAAGTCTGCTGATACAGCTGCTTACAGCTCCGGTTGGCTGTGGATTACCATTCCTGGTCAATGGGAGCGGTGAGCAGCGGTGTCCCGTTCTGCACTGCTTTCCGCAGCTCCCATTGGCTGGAAATGGTGAACCGCGGCCAATAGGAGCTGCAAGCATATCTGAGGATACGCAGGTAAATAAAGCACCAGCAGCCTGCCAGGGGCTAACCCTAGTGAACCACGTCAACCCGTGGGCTGCTTATTGCCCACGCCTGTTCTTCTCCTGATATGCCTGAATATTCTGATGCAAGAGATATTGGATTATTTGAGAACAGTGTTCTGGTCTCTGGTAAAAGACAAGCTAGACTTATCTCTTCAAACTCTCTCCCTTTTCCAGTGTCAGTGCAAAAATAAAAGCTATTGAAGCCAAGCTGAAAATGATGGCAGAGAATCCAGATGCGGAATATCCAGCACCACCAGCTTATTCTTACTTCAAACCACCCGATAAAAAAAGGACTACTCCTTACTCCAGAACTGCCTGGAAATCCAGAAGATGATGATTATGTATGGCTAATGGTAGCAAGAGAGACTGTTTTATACACCTCTGAAATCCTCCAGTGTTTTTGTACTTGTAGATTATGCTCAGTTGGCACTGTCCTTCCCAATTTCACTGTTTACACTACAGTGTTTTATAATCTATTTTAAATGTTCTGATAACTGCGCCATACTGTCAGTGTATGTACAGAATTGACTGCTGTCCAGAAAAAATAAGGTTCCATCCAAAACTTGTGACTTAGACAATTCATGTTGTTAGTCTGGTTTCATTAGTAAGACCAGAAGTGTTAGCCAGATAGAAAATCAAACACAAGAAATGGTCTATTTTAATTCTGGCTGTTAAATTTAAGAAAGTACCTTTTTTCAAACAAGTATTCCACTTTGTTTAAATATTTTAAGCAGAGGGAAAACACAAGAGTTTTGATAAATTACCATAAGTCCTTTTCATCTTCCACACAGCTAACTTTAAATGGCTTTTGCAACCTCTTTAGTAAATATACATGCTATATTTATACACAAGGCAGCAATTTTGTTTTGCACCCCGATTTGTTAAATTAAATCTAGATCTAACCATGGGACAGCAAAAGGATTTTAAATGTTAATATTTCAGAACAATTGTAGAAATCCAGTGTGTCTCACTGCGTAACTATTTAATAATTCCTATATGTAATTTACTCTGTGCTTCTAAAATAACAACACTTAAAATGTAGATCTTGAAATTTCATGTGCAAAACAGTAGAACGTTATTATGTGAAAATACTGTTTAAAGTTTTTATAGTGGCATATCTAGCATGCATACATGTAACCCTCCTTACCGATTATTCTTCATAAGCAAGATGCGACAGTGTGAGACTGTAACGTTGCTACCCCAGAGACATCTGGCAGAACAACTACCTCAGAAGGGCACCCAGCTAGGCTAATTCCATTCTTGACTGGCTGGCAAAGATGCTTGGTTACAACAATTAGGAAAACGTGAGTGGCGGGGATCTGGCATAGCAGTGCTATTGTATTCTAGGGGTTATGTTTGCTTTAGGAAGTGTTTAATTTGTCTTTAATGGACCGGCGTTTCACCTAAAACAGCACTTGGTCCCTACAAGTTCCCTGCAACACTGACAGACATGAGAAAAGATCTATAAAACCCATATGCGTCACAAGTGGGAGTGATGAGGAAGACAACTATATTCACTGGTACTGGAGATGATAATCTATGTTGCCAAGGTATCCGATCTCTCACTGCAAGTTTTTATAACCGTAATACAGTTTTCTCACTTGCCAGTCAGTCCTGAATGGTGTCCCCAAACTGATAACCATTACAATGTCCAAACGAGATAATAATCTAAACTGCCCACGGTTTCTCTCTAGGTGAAAACTTTCTCATTTGTATGGCAAACTTATGTTCTGTTTTACAATGCTGTTTATAATTACATTTATGTATAAAATGTTCTTAAAACCTCTAAACTATCTCAACCATAGCTTTACACGTGTTTGAGAGATGCACTGTTTTCAAAGCCTGAAATGGATCATTGTTTAAAAACAGGTCTTTAGCTAGTGAGTTTAATTTCTAACTTTTCTTGTTACCCAGGTACTTGAAGAAAATGAGTCTCCTTTTAGGTTTAGCACCTCTATGAATGATAATGCTATCTGATAAAAATTTTTTTGCAGACTGGGTCTTTGTTTTAGATTTTTACACTTATATGATATAGTCTCACACTTGCAATCCTTGAATCATTTAGACTCGTTATTTAAAACAAGATGGTTGTTTCTATTTTTAATATGAATTTAGAAATAGTTGCATTTGAATGAGGCGTGCTGGTGTGTTCCCTTTTATATTTATTTATATTTAAAATGGGCTCATTTGCTAAGACTCTTACAGCTCTGTGTGAATAAATAGTTTAAACCATGTATTTCTTCTTGACTTGAACCAGTAACCTAGGCTGGTGAATGACTAGAGTAAATGGATCTTTCAGTTGGTGGGTTCTGCCAGTGTGTTAAATAGAACTGTTTGCACTATTGTTAGAAAAAAGCTTTGTATGAAGTTTTAGTTCTAGATTGATACTCTTTCTTTACGTTTGGCAAGCAGAGAGGCGTTAGTTCTGCCTCGCATATGAAGATGGTGGATGCTAGTATGATGACCCACCTCCAAATGTTGGGATAAGGGGAAGAAATTACCTTGTGTCTGTCATTCTTGTTAGTTAGAAATAACTTTAGGGATCTACCCTGCAAACACATACATGGAATAGGGCGTCTTGAGTGCTCTGTTTGCAGCAAATCCCATCCCGTAGAGGCTGAAGCGAACTTGGCTCTCAGAATTTCTAGATTTAGGATTCAACAGTTAATCAAATTAATATAACTGCTGGAGATGTAAACAAGTAGTTGAACAGTCGACTACCTGATCAGCCTAAGCAGAGGCTGCTGAGCCCAGCATGAGCTGGGACTGAGCAAGCCTGGCTCAGTCCCGGCCTGCGCCCTTCCAGGGCCCCTGCAGCTCTGTATTTTAAATAAAGTGAGAGCCGGGCAGCTCTGACGACATTTGAAATGCAGAGCCGCAGCAGTTCCAGCTCTGTACAGCCTACCTGTGCACATCCGGCTCCTGCTACGTTTAAACTGCAGGGCCTTATTGACTAATCATGTAGTCAATACAAATTGTATCGACCACACGATTAGCCACTTACCTCCCTCTTCCTAGCCACTTCCACACTAACAAATCCCCAACTGAGATTTAGTTTTAAATGGCAAACAAGACACGCTTCACAATGTGGATAGTTGTAGTCTGCACAGTTAAAAGCATCCAGAAGAATATACAGGTAAGAGTGTGTGTGCACTTCCGTAACAATTATTTTAGTGGCTTTCTAATTCTGTGATACAGGCCCTAGCCTGCAGTTTGGAATAGACTATCAGGGAGTTTGTAAACTCTTCATAAGCAAAAATTATCTCTGTTTTTAAATTTTTTACCTCAGATTTCATTTTTTTTAAGACAAGGGATTGCTAAAATCTTAGTGTCATTAGATGACAAATTTAGGAATAAATTAGGTAAATCTTCCGTGTAAGAGTGAGCACTGACAATGCAGGGATCATATAGTATCGTAAGCTGCCTTCATACTGAAGTGAATAATCCTCTTGGTGGTGAGGTCACTTGTGCATTGTCTCCATTAGGATTGTTAGCTATTGTGATGTTTAAAAAAAAATCCATTTTGTACAGCGCAGACATAACCTTAGGGCTTGTCTACACTGGCGAGCAATGTGGAGGAAAAGCACCTTTTGTCGACCAAATGCATGAGCGTGCACACCGTGACGCAGCTTTTCCTGCAAAAAACGTCCATTTTCCGCTGCAAAAATTTCCCAGTCCCATGAGGGACTTTTGTCTTTTCCCGTCTGTGGTGTTGACAAACATGCAGTGTGGACACCGCAAGGCGTTTTGTAACGTGTCCCACAATTCCCAAGCAGTGGCTCTGGTCAACAGTTTGAATGTCAGTGCCTTGCAGTCAGTTGACAAGCTACCTGCCCTGCTCCCTCACAAGCCTGAAATTTAAACCCCTTTTTCTGCTGCCTGAGCACCTGGAACCCAAAGTGCTGGCTCAGCGTGCAGCAGTCTAATGGTGTGATCCTAGCTGCCCATGCATGGCCATTGTAACAAACGCTTCCCTCCTACCCCCCCAGGACCGCCATGGGGAGAGGACTCTGATTCAGTCCTGGCTGAGAGAGACCTGTAAGAACTGGGACCACTGCTGATGGACACAGTACATCTGAGCACTGCTTCGGCGAGCTTGCTACAGCCAAGGTGCTGCCCTCACAGAAATAGGGGGGATTTGGTTTCAAAATGCTGAATCGGTGCTTGAGTGAGTGGAAAGGGAACTCAGGACCCCCAAGATCAATTATGCCTTTGCCAGGGTCCTGGAGGAACAGACCGAGATCCTAAAGTCCATGAGGCAGCTTGTTCCTCTTTCCTGCATGGTAGATTCAAAATTCTGTGTCCCACAAGCCCCCTCACCACCACTCTCACATTCCTTTTCTTTCTTGGGGAGTCCAAATTTTCCCATGCACTCCACACCCCTCTCCCAGCTGTGCTTATGATGGCTGGAGCTATCCATAACTGGTGGTAACCCTTTGCCTACACTTCCCTTGCCATGGGGG